CCAAAAAGTCCATCTAGACTTGTCTTCTGATAGTAGCCAATGCCAGATGCTCCAGAGGGAATGAATAGAACAGGGAATCATCAAGGGACTCCTCCCCTGTCACCCATTCCCAGCCTCTGACAGAGACTAGGGACACCCTGGCTAATGAGCATTGATGGACCTAGCCTCCATGAATTCATCTACCAGGGCCAAGTAAACCTAGACCATCCTTGACAGGTGTTTGTCCAGCTTCTTTTTACAAGTTTCCAATGATAGGGACTCCATGACCTTGTTTGGAAGCCTATTCTAGTGCTTAACTAGCCTTATTGTTAGAAAGTTTTTCCTAATAGCCAATCTCTAGCTCCATAGCTGCAGATTAAGCCCATTGATTCTTGTCCTGCCATCAGTGGACATGAAGAACCAACCCAGCTGGTGATACTGCCACACAGTTGGATAAGGAAGGAAGCCTCTGGAAAGGCCTCATAGTAATAGCATTACTGGGGGGAGGGGGCAGTGATGGAAAGGTGGCTGTGAACCAGTGAGAGTCAAGTTACAGAGGGAAGATACAATTGGAATGGAATAAATACCCTATGTTCTCTACAGTTTTTGCAATTTATTCAAACAGAGAAACACATGAAGAGTTTCTCTTAAACACAATGTTTAATGTTTGCTGCAACTTGACAAAAAGGTTAACAACCCATTCAGGAAATACACTGGGGTCTTCTAAAGCACGAGTCTGTGCCAAGGGACTCCTCTTTAAAGCATATGTTGGTGGCAGATGCATTAGATTATATTAAAATGCCTGACCTAGTCAATTATTATGCGGGTCAGACTCTGTTCGCAAATGCAGACACCATTAACGTCGGTGGGGGCCCCAGCTACACATTACAGTTCAGTCTCACAGGTTGTACTAGTTAAGGATACGCTGGGTCCAAGAAGATTCTCCTCACATGAACAGCAAGGATGAGAACATAAGAACGGCCAGACTGGGTCAGACCAAAGGTCCATCTAGCCCAGTGACCTGTCTGCCAACAGTGGCCAATGTCCCGAGTCTCCTCTTTTCTAAGCTGAGAAGTCCCGTTTTTTAATCTGTCTTTATACGGGACCTGTGCCAAACCCGTAATCATTTCTGAAGTTTTTTCAATCGCTCTAGATGTTTAAATGGGCACCTTCCTATATTGAACATAAATGTCATGAAAGAACCATAAGCTGATATAAAAAAGAATTCTCACTCACAGGGGACATAGAGCTTGCTGGGCCAGGGATCTGGGTTTCCTTATGCTGCAACTGTTGATCCTGTTATTGCAGGGTGCTCAACGTACAATACTCAGTGCGAAGCCAAGTCTCCAACCTCCCGGTGCAATTAAAAAAATCCACGATGAGTGCAAGGAGATCTCTCCACCATGATTCCAAATGGCCATTTTGACTTTCCC